TATATAGAATTGAGTGTAAATTGGTTATTATTGTAGCAAAAGTAATATGATTTTTATTTTATTATGCCACATTTCAACTTTCTACAGAGAGAGAGAGACATATATTATTTTCTTACTGTTTTTTTTTTCTGAATTCTTTTTACACCTAATTACTTATATATCATTTTATATATTAATTTCTTGTCATGAGTCTTATATATTATATTTATATGTATGTATGTATGTTTTATGTGTGTGTATATATGTGTTTGATACGTGATCAAGAGGAAATGTAGATAAATCATCGTTCTCAGGACGTTTATGATCGGACACGTAGTAATTTGTAGGTAACGATTGTAAAACGTTTTATTCTTAGTTGTAACAAATGGGTCGTGGGTATTATTCGCTTAGCTATCGGATGACTTCTTATAAAATATTGTGTGTACCGGTGGTGTGTGTGTCCATTAAATGTATTTTGATAGAACCAATCGTGCGCGTGCCCTTCGGTAAAGGCTTCTAATGAATATGCAATGTGTTCCCGACGAGTTTTCTATTCTCTTCTCTTTCTTTCTTTCTTTCTTTCATCCTTCTTCTTATTCTTATTCTTTTTCTTTCTCTCTCACGAATGGTCAATAAACCTAAGCGACCATAAAATCCAATTAGTGTGAAATTAATACCACTGGAAGGCACTGGGAAACGAAGAAAGCGAATCAATTTATTACTACGAAATAGTGAAAGATTCGTAAGAGAATCAACTAACTTAGATAGGATATATGGAATCTTAATCAATGATAGATCGATCGTTAATTATTGACTTGGTTAAGAAGTATTACTGGCATTTTTATTAATATTTAAAATAGTAATATGGTTGTTTAAATGTTGCAAATATTTTCAAGTATTTCAATCGATAATATATTCTATAATGGTAGGTTAATTATTTAGAAATCAAATTTGAAATATGCTTTTGATATAACTATATCGATAATTAAAACATTTATATTTATTTTTATTTCGATATTTATTAAATACTAATTTTTACGAATGTTTAATATTAAAGAAAAATATAAAAATACTAGAGCTTCATTTAATTTTAATATAAATCTGTATAAATTGTATAATTCTTCTAATTTCATTTTAATATAATAATTATATATATTATAATTAATATAATAATTTTTATCTAATCTGTATAATTCTTTTAATTTAATTTAAAAAAATTAATGTATAATAATAATTAATATAATAAATAATATAGTATAAAAATATACGATAATAACTAATTTATAAAAATATTACTATAATAGAAAGTGTTTTTAATACATCAAATATTTTATAATGTGATATTTATTTAGAAATAGAAACTAAAAATTAAATATATATTTTTAAATTTTAATAAAAAAGTTGTTTTAAAATATAAAATTAGAAATCAAGAATAGAACGAATAATTCTAAATTGAAAATTGTTGATAAGTTGAATGAAACATACAAGGCCTAAGGATATTCATTTGCAAATGATAAAAAACCATAAAGTAATATCTTCGTGAGGATCGTCGAATAAAATATAAAAAAAAATAAAAAAATAAAAAACAATAAAAACAAAATGGTAGTTCAGTGCACGTACGAACTATGCCAACGTCTCTCACGTCGAACAACGTTGGTTCTACGACTTTTAAGAGGCGAACGTAATTAAAATGTTATTTATAACGTTGTTTCACAGGAGCGCTTTATAATCCGACCTTCGTTCGGTAGGTACTTACGTCACTAACGCAATTATGAGATTTATTTTTATACGATGCATGTAAAGAATTTCAATACTATCGCTCATTATATCAAGTTGGACTAATTATATCAGATGTGTTTGATCGATCGATCAATCATTTTTCAATTTTATTCCAAAACTATATCCTACTTATTTCAATTGAAATAAAATCAAAAATTCAAATATGTTTACCTAGTCTCATTTCTTTTGAAAAAAAAAAAACTCTTAAAAAAAGTTGGAAACTATTTTTATTTTTCTTTTTTGTATTTCTATAGGTAATATTTTATTTTGTCAAATATATTATATAATATTTTCCGTGTTGTAAGATTTAAAAATGTATTCTAAGATTTAATCGTAAACATCAAAACAACAAAATGTCAATATAATCCAATCAAATAAAAATCTATCAATTAAACGAATAAAATTCTTGCATAGATCAACACACATATAATAAACACACACATACAATGAATTTAATACTAAATATAAATCGAAATAAAAATCGTCGATCATCAGGTGACCCCATTCACCGAGTAACACACAAGCAGTGTGTTTAATAATTCCAAAATACTTTAACGATCTAGTCGCAATTTAAAAACCATAAAAACGGAAATGAAAATAAAATTAAAAAAAAAAAAACTACAAGAAACACTCATTTTAAAAATTGTCAAACCATACAGAAGGATATTATAAAACGAAGTAAAAAAAAAGAAAATGTCAGGGTTGCGTCAGGGTTGACCATTTCTCAGGTCTAATTTTTTTTTTTAAATCGTATTGAAGGGGTGGAATAAATAAGCAAAGGTTTTAGGGAACAAAGTTACTTTCATAGTTTGGTTTAGGGTTGTCCCAGAGAATCTTGAAGCCTTACTACCTGTTTCAAGCTTTCTTGCATACTCTTTCTCTCTCTTTCTTTCTCTTTCTCTTTCAACCTCTTCCACCTTCGTTAATTACGAGAACCCCATACCGTGGCCCCAGGACCGGACCTATTACGAGCGATTACACCGCTATTAGTTACCTACCGGGTGTTCCATAGCACGAAAGAAGCCACGTGTAAAAAAGAACGACTTTAAGAAGAGGAAGGAAGGTTTAACAGAGAAAGAGAAAGAAAGAAAGAAAGAAAGAAAGAAAGAAAGAAAGAAAGAAAGAGAAAGATATAGAGAAAGAGAAAGAGAAAAAAACATCCAGATAGATTGCACTACACCCCATTCTCGGCGCGTTACTCTACACGTCTAACAACCGGTCGTCGTCTCCTTCCTTCGGAAACTTAATAATGCAAAACCATCGACCTATGGGGCTATGGAAAAAAAGAAAATTTGCATGGATAAAGAATAAACCCTTTTAGAAAGAAAGAGTAAGAAAAAAATTTGAATTTGTACACCAATGAACAACATTAATTTGTACATTGAACGATCATCTTTCCTTAATTTTTTATCTTTGAATTTTAGTTGTTTCTACGAATCATTTTGGTAATTCAATTATTTTCAATTATGGATTTATATATAATTTCATATATTTATATTTAGTTATGTTTTAAAATAATTATGATATATAGAACTTTGTTTGATAATTTCTGTTATTTTTTGTTTAATTTTTATAGACAAGTATGGTAATTTGATATTCAATAATTATACGTCTATAGTATTTATATATCGATTGATTTAATTTTTAATCTAATGTATTGTTAATTAATTTTCTATGGTTAATTTATGAATTGATATTATTTGAATTTATTAATATAATTTAATTATTTATCTACGAAATAATTATTATAATATAATAAATATATTATAGAAAACAAAGCTTTGTGTATTTGAAACTAATCATATTCGTAATGATGTTATTCAAATATAGTTTTAATTGTTTTTACGAACAATTATGATACCTTAATTTAATAATTAGTTAGGAATTTTATAAATTAATCGATTGATTGAATTAATAATCCAATTGAATTGATTTACGATCAATAACTATATATCTTACGTTAGAAGAATAATTGGTTAAAGTTATTATTTGTTAATTGGTCGATCGAATCTATTTATATAAAAAGAAACTAATATGCGGGGAATTTTTGTAGCTCATGAAGTTTATGTGCCTATGTATTTAGACACATGTATATCTATGTGTGTGTATGTGTTTTGATAAAGTTATTAACTCTTATATCGAAACGATCGGCATTGGTATGTCCATAATTACGGTAACGTACGCAATTAACTCATCGCTATTTTTGCAATACGAATATCACTATAAGCTTGAATAATCATGAAGGAATCAAGTCTGTTTTATGATCATGTTCAAGGACTACGCCTTCATCGTAAAAATGGCATCGATCGATAATATTCTGCTTATCTCTCTGTTTGTACGTATAGAAATATCTGTACGTGTGTGTGTGTGTGTGTATGTATGTATGTAGATGCGTAGCGTTTGGTTTCGTTCTTCGTTTACATTCTCACCTATCGGATTAGTTGGAAAACAAAATTGAGGAATTCTCGTAAATATAAATGATGACTCAAAATTGACATAGTTCATAGGTAACCTTTAAAAAGAAGAAGCGTCTGAAGATCGATGATTAAATTTATTTGAATATATATTTTCTTTTTTTTTCGTATCAATTGAATTTGTGTTATTGGAATTTTCTTTATAATTGCTTAGACATCTGGTATTAATCGTCAATAGATAATTCCACGTGTTTCAAATGGAAGCCTCCAGTAGGAATGTAATGAAAGTGGCAGAGCAAGACTTCTGATTCTACGATTCACGATCAGTTTACGTTAGGCAAATAATCTCTAACCTAAGTAAAGTTAAATTAAGTTAAGTTAAGGTATTTAAGAGGAGTTCGAAAATGCAGTGAGGGTGTATCGTTTTATCGCGGATAAGTTTAGGGATTAGTCGAGACTAATAGGTTGTCTCTCAGCAGGTCGTCTTCTTTCAAACCTAACTATTTTCTATTCTATATCTAGATCCCGTTATTTAAGAAGGAAGCAAGCATTCAACAGATTCGATAAGATTTTATTTTTGGTCCTAAACATATTTTCCTCTTTACCTATCGCTAAAAAACGTAGATAATATTATACCTGCTACTTACCGTGTCTCTGGATCCTTTTAAAGTTAGGTCAGAGTTTGGTTGTTCGTTAAGATTTAATACTTCGAATGAAAAATACTTTAGAATAGAGGAAATTTTCATCCTTGTGTTTATAAACAGGTAGTCCTTTCAATATACATGGATTTTCATTTTTTTTTCTTTTGTAATGCACACAATAACTTACCTTGTGAAAACGTCAGGATAATGAGTCCTCGAGAATGCCTTTTCAAGTTCTTCCAACTGAAAGCTAGTGAAGGTCGTCCTGTAACGTCGTTGTTTCCTCTTAGGTGCAAAGTCGTCGACCTCAGCTTCGCTTTCAGGGCTCGTTGGAGCTGCCCTCGGGTGGGTGCCCTCTTCCTCAGGTCTAACCTCTTCCGTTGAAATCCCCATTTGAGTGGATTGAGGCGTCGTTGTTATTGTTCCTGCTGTTGTTGCTGTAGCTGCTGCTGCAGTTGCAGTTGCAGTTGATGAAGTTATTGGTGTTGGTGCCGGTGATGATCGGGTTGATACAACCAATAATGCAGTTGATGATACAACACTTGTAACAGCTGGTATTGTTGGTGTTTGCGTTAAAGTTGGTGTAGGTGTTCCTTGTTGTTGACGAGACTGGTGCTGCTGGTTATTAGTTTGTTGGTTCACCTGCTGGCTCACCTGATTCACTTGGTTCAAGCTACTCGTGCTACTAGCAGGACTCGTCTGAGGGACGGCCAGCTCGCTACCTCCACCTCCTCCAACACCTCCACCTCCACCACCACCGCCTCCGCCTCCGCCTCCTCCTCCACCTCCACCTCCTCCTCCTCGTACGCTCGACTGATCTGTAAACCAAGAATTTATTATTTTGTAATTTTCATTTATTTTCACACGCTGTCGCTTGTTACGAACAATATTCTTTCTTCCTCTGAGTAATATTTTAATTATTACATTTACTTGGAAAAAATAGAAGACTTGTTTTATTAATTCATTTGTTTATTAAAAAGTTGTTATACTTTTCGCGATTTTTATTATATAATGATCAAGTAAATATTATATGAAATATATTTTATATTATTATATGATAATTATTACCTAGAATTGTTAACACGATTGTACACGTTTGTAAGAAAATTTTACGTCGTTTCGAGAAGCCATTAAAACACTAACTGATGTGTTATTTTCTCGGTTAACAATTATTATTCCTTCTAGCGTGATATTTAAACCGCTAAATCGGAATCCCCAGAAGAATCATTGCGGTCTCATTTCCGTGCTTGGTGGTAGTAGTGGTCTCAAAGAATTCATTTAGTAGTAATATTTGTATTAGTATCATTATTATTATTAGTTGTAGTAGTAGTAGTAGTTCTTTTTTTCTGGATTTGGAATTTCCCAGTTTTAAATATCATTTCGAACGATATCAAATTTATTACCAAATACTCTCCTTTTTTTTCTTCTACGATTTAAAAATCACCAGTTCTTATATTATTTTTATCAAGATTTTGTTTATCTTTATTGAAAAAAAAAAAAAAAACAAAAAGAAAAAATTCTTTAAAATTCGTCATAAAATAAAAATAATCGTTTAGATGTAAATAAATAAACGAAATAAATATCTCTGCATAAGTTAAAATCGTGAATACATCAACGTAAATTCATTCATGCGAGGGTAAAGGTATCATTCCTTTCACCGACCTTGCAGCATTAATGATTCCTATAATACTTGAGCTCTTATGTATCTACCTCAAATATGCGACTCCCAGTATACACACACATACACATATATAGAATTCTCGATTCTCTCATAACCCTCGGAATGATTTTCACGCGTGATTCGTGTGTTTCACACTCGTTTTAAATCTTATCCACAAAAAAAAAAAATACCAAGTACCTTCTTATAACCATAGAGGAGAAGAATCTTATGAAAAATGTTTTTTTTTGTAAAACCACAAACACAACGTTTACCCGAACAAGATGAAAAGTGGTGCTTTAAACCAAATCGTTTGGTTATGCGTAATAAATGGAGATAACACGTTTATAAAATGTATCATCGATGATAATCGAGTACACACATCTTCGATACTTTAAATGTATAAATCTTATATCGTATATTATAATATATGAAATATTTCACGAACACATACACACACACACAAACAAAACAGTTTGTCGGGATCTAGTATTACACCTACTATAAACTTCTGGCGCCAGTTGACTAACACCAAGGATGGCGCCCACTTAGGAAATGCCGTGTATCAACTCGCATTCCGATTATGACACCACCACTCGATGTCGTTTACTATCATGGTTGCATAGAAACACGTAGTAATAGAAGAAAAATAAGAAGAAGAAGAAGAAGAAGAGGAAGAGGAAGAAGATGAAGTAAAAAAAAAAAAAGAAAAAAAAACAAACTTAATTGAAAGTATCGTTTGCCGACATGATGATCGTCCAAGAGAAAACTCGAGGTTCTGGTATCTAACCATAAGAGTAAAAAAAAAAAAGAAAAAAGTATAATAGTCGTTTTCTTCTAAAACTTGATATCACAGGAGCTTGAAGTAAGCGGTAACACCACCAGTCTTTAAGGAAAATGGCGCTCGTTCAAACGAATTTCTAAAAACGAGTACGTTGGGTTTGCGGATATATCGAAGGGAAGGTCCCGTAAGAACACGTATTGAACGAAAGGCGGATCGAAAGGGATAGGAGGGAGACAGGTACAAGTAGAGGGGAGGGGACTGGTGAAGGGGGTCGAAGCAAAGTGGTTTACGCGCTCTTAAGAGGCACTTTTTAATCGAGTCGATTTATCGGAAATGAGCTTATAATCCAGGTAGTAGCCCCCGACGTAATGCGGACGATAATGTATACGAGATCTAAACCCTACTTTTCCTCCACTACCACTATCACCCCTTTCCCTCTCTCCTCCCCTTTTATTTCTCTTTCTATCTTCTTATAGAAGACTCGTCTTCTTTCGCGCACACCCATCGCGTTTATTATTCGCGTATATAAGCCGTAAAAGAGAAGATGCACTTGCTTGCTGCATATGCAACAGGAATAAGAAAAGTGAACGGAAAGAGGGGGAGATAGAAAGAGAGAGAGAGAGAGAGAGAGAGATAGTTGAAGATATAGGTAGCCCTTTAGATTATAATGGCATTAATGGGCCCCGAAGCCGCACTTAACGTTTGTTCGTTGGCCAGTTCGTTTCGTTATTAACTGAAAATTACCGAAACCGAAATCTAATTCGCGTAAACACTATAATTTAACGACGGAAAGGAGCAAGTTTACGTGGGCCAGGCGCGGACTGGCACACCTGAGTACCCCCCGGTTCATTGTGGTTCAATCTTGAAATAGTAATCCGTTTGATGACTGTGAGAAACTCTACTCTAAGAACGTTTATATTGTATTTACTATATAAGAGAGCTGGCAATTATACTCTTATCTTTAATTAAAATCTAAATCGTATTGAAAAAAGATAAAAAAAATAATAAAAATAAAAAAGATAATAATAATAGTAATAATAATAAAATATTTTTAAAAAATATGCTTAATCCTTTCACCGACGAGTTCAATTAAGGTGACACACTTCGTTCAATGGGAATAAGAATAATCGTTTTATTATTATTATTATTATTATTATTATTATTATTATTATTATTATTATTATCTGGAGACTATTTAATGGACTTTGTTATACTCGAACGTGTGATATAATAATTATGAGACGCCTTGAGATGTCGATAATTTTTTATTAATTTATTTATAAACGCCGTCGCCGTTCCCACCCCCTCCTCACCTCCCTTGCTCCATAATTTACAATGGAAGAGTTAATTACAAGTGAAATACTTTATATTACACCTTGATTTGTGTCAATAAAAATGAAATTAAACAAAGAAATGAAAAAAAAACATTAAAAATAATAAAAAACAAAAGAGAACGAAAGAATCACGTTTAAAAATATGTTTTTATGTATATCATTCCCTTCGAATGCCATTAGATTATTATAGGAATAATAATGGTCGAATTATATGTGTTAGTTAACACGAACATATATACACACACATATATAAACGTGTAGATATAGTGTTATTCGTATACATAGTCTGGCGATTTACGAGCGTACAAATCAGCACGGCGTAATAAACTAATTAGCCGACTCATTGCGGCCGCTTATGCTTCTCAGGAGTTTGCAAGGTTCTGTGGCAACAGCAGCACGCGACAGCGATTCTGATAAATCGACTTCTTTGAAAAGAATCAACGAGAGAAAGAGAAAAAAATATAAAAAAAGAAAGAGACAAAATACTTTTTATCATTCAAATTTAATTCCATACGAAATTGTGTTATTCATAAAATTGAGAATATACGAGCAGAATTATTATGAAATTAACATTAATTTAAAAAAAGCGAAGATCTACTATTAACGTTTTATTTCTTTTTAATTGAAAAAAAGGTCTAATAATAAATCATTCATTTATATTTGATTTCTCGTTTTAAAATAAATAAATAAATAAATATATATAGCCTAATTTATTGTACAATCATATTTTTTCTACTTAAAATATACGTAGGTAATAGATGGAAGATTTATTAATGAATTATTTCATTTCAATTTAAAAAAGAATAAAATTAAAATTAGTAAAAACAAAATTAATATTAATAAAAAAAAAAAATAAGCTTATATAATAAAATATATTTCTTGAAATAAACATGAAAACATAGTAACACAAATTGTAAATAATTATATTTGTCACTTAATACAAAAAATAGATTACAAAATTAGGTATAAATAGTAGGTATAAATCATTTTATGTTTTTATTTAAAAAAACAAAATGAAATATAGGAGAGTGAGACAAATAAAATATGATGGTTGTTAATGGATTAAAAAAATTGAAATAGAAAGTGATATTATCGGTAATGGCAATAAATAGAGATAGATAAATCGTAGTAAATATCTCTCGTATACGTAGTATTTCATAGTTTATTTCTTTTTGACCATTGTAGAAAAGAGATTGGACGGCATTCGGTGCAAATGAAAAATGTTCTCGACGTGATCATCGTTGAAGCTTTTAGCATCAAGGAAGGATCGGTAGTTTCACGCGCGTTCTACTACGTGAACGTGCTGGCTCCCGAGAATGAACGTGCCGCGGGGAGGTGTTTTTACGTTGAGAATCATACTTGCAAATTCGCGCTAATAGACGCATCAATGCATCCTGTGACAAGAACCAAGGGGACGTCRGTCGGTCGTGTTCGATCTCACGAGCACGATAATACCCACCTATTACGAATTATCGTCAAGATATTCCATTCGATACGCGAGTTATTTCTATTTAAACCACCTTTTTGATACCAACTTTGATAACAAATGGACGTTTATTTGTTCCTTTCTAGATAACTTAACTAAAAGAATTTTTAAACACAAAAGTTGTCATCATTTTTTTATTCATTTATATCTATTTTGATTTAATATTGTATTATATTTATGAAATGGATTCATGAATATTTAATATTATATTCCATGAAAATGTTTAATTTCAATTATCGGTAATTTTATTATTTGTTTTGCAATTTGTAAATAATATTACTAAAAATTGTCAATATTATTTTTACCAAATTTAGATACATATTTGCACATAAATTTGCTATGAAATTATTTAAATTCAATTTCCAAAAAGATGCTTCTTATTGATTTTCTTTTAATCATTAAACCAATATTATTTACAAGATTATTCCATTGAGTAATAAAAAAAAAATAATAAAAAAAAAAACAAATTCCATAATTATTGCAAATTTTCAATTCCATAATTTTTTATTATTCAATTCAATAAAGAATATATATTTTTGAGTGAAATAAAGAGGTACGGTTATTAGGGGTGAGCACGATCATACGATATTAAACGAGAAATCGTTTTACAAAACGATCACAGACCGAATACCCGATATCGGTATAATATACTCTTCGTTCACGAATTAATTATACGTCCATTACGTAATTGGATTTATCGTCTCGGCGTGATCAAGTAGAAAAGATCGTTTCTTTCCACCACGAGAAATCCGATCCATTAGCTCGCTAATTGAACGTTGCCGCGCGTTGACAGTGGGATTGTAATTAAGGAATGCCGATCTGAACGTTTTTCCGCACTGTACCGTACCGTACCGTATCCGTATGGTACCGTATCGTAAAGGGATCGTAACGCACGGATACTCAAATTCGATGGGATCAAATTACACGAACGATCACCGATCATATTCGGTTTAAAAGCATTTACACTTTGTCGATCGTTACTTTCATCGTTTATCCCTCGTAATCCTATCGAGATAATAACCCTAAACTTCTTTTGCAATTCAAACGAAATATTTTTTTTTACTGGTAAAAGAAATCTTCTTATTTTTTTTTAATATTATTATTATTATTGTTATTTATATGAAAAATACAATAATAAATAATAACAAATTTTGATTTATAACTGAGGAAAATAATGCTTTTAAATATTATTACAGTTGGGTATAACAATATTTTTATCATGGAATTTGTATAAGTTTGGGACACATTTGGTGAGAAAATAATTAATAAACTGTATAATTATAACTAATAACTGACAAAATAGTTTCATCATAAACAATTGCAAATAACAATTGTTTTATAATATATCCTACAATATTTATTACAATAATATTTAACAAAATATTTAGTATCATTTATAAACTCGAATTTAATATTTAACGAACACATCCATTGAGAATAGTTTGTGCAATATTTTGAATTTGATTTTTCTTCATTATCCAATAACACTTTCCAAGAATATTTAAAACTTCGGTTTAGTCTAGAAGAAAAGAAGAGAAGAGAAAAGACATTTCCAATGAACTTGTCTCGTACGTAAGATCGCCAATGAAAAATCATAACGATCCATCGAACGAGAAGTAGTAGTAGTCTTGCAAAGCCTGATTGGAATCTGCTTTACGATCATCGATAAAAGGATCCATAAGGAGACACGATCTACCTACGGGGGCTTTACAACTTGAACGACTCACGATCTAGCCGATAAACTATACCTACTACCCCATAGGCGTCTACCATCAGGGACGTTTGCAATATTTTCCAACCAAGAGATTTTAATCTTCTATACGTTCAGATTATCCTTTTTTTTATATTTTGTATTTTTTTTCATTTATCCACTTACAAGATCGATAGACGTGAATCTACGATGTGTAAGATAAGAATGATTATTGTCAAATTTACATATTATAGTACTTCAATCGTTCCATAGTAAATCTGTTATTTTTTAAATAAAGATAATAATTTTATTAAATCGTTCCCGTCTTGAAAAAAATAATAACAATGCGATTAGAAATTTTTTCACAATGTGTTATTACAAAAAAAAAATAGAAAAATAAATTACAATTTTTATTATCAATTGAATTTTTATATTTTCATATTAAATTCGTCGTATATTGTGTCATTTAAATAACAGATATTATAATCAACGTATCGTGAGAACTTTTGTTCTGACCATGAGCAATAAAAAAAAAAAAAACCTGATCAAACATCAAACGCACAAATGAGACAAGGAAATTTGTTCGTGTAATAATTAACAACGACGAATTACAATCTTCTTATTTACTTTTGTTTTGTTCATTTTAATGGACAACTACAAGGAGAGTGTGTAAAAGGTTAAGGTTCTTTTATTTAACAGTTGTGTCTCGATACGCGTTTTACGAGCTGCTAATTGGTCCATTATGAACGGAGAAAGTGGCTGAGAGTTCGTGCTGCTTACAAACGTAGTTCTACTTAATGTATATAAAACACATACACACACATATATATATATATATATATACATATATAAATATATATATATATATATAAGTACTTACTTGAAACTAATTAACGATCGGAAGATAAGTGCCGGCGTAATTTGTACAGTGTCACGACTTTTGCCTCATCATCGATCATTCGCAAAGAGACACACGCGTATGTGGATATTAACGTTGAAGGCGGAGACTTTCTCGTATGAACATTTGTAATTGAGAAAAAAAAACAGATAGCGAGAGAAAGAAAGAGAAGGTGGAAGGTGGGGTAGAGTAAGGTGGGAATGATTTTTCTTTACCAAGTATCGTGGTACTTAATTGAAAGCGAGTGTTCAGAGAAAATTCTTATCTCGTTAGTCTTGTCCTTGTCAATCTCTTTTCTAACTGAATGACGGATAATGGTAAGAATGGTAAATGGAATTTTTCTTCTATTTTTAATTGTAAAGTAAATCGTTCTCTTAGAGATTGTACGAATAACTTGTATAAGAATAGAATATAACTTCTATAAGAATAGAAAAAATAGTTTATATATATATATATATATATATATATATATATATATATATACACTTTATAATAAAAAACGTAAGTTATTTATTGGGATTTATAAAAAATTAATTCGATGAAGAAGATAAAAGTATGGTAGTTATGTACAAAAAAACAAATAACAAATTATTCATATTACGTTCATTTATTGTTTCATGTGTTAGTTCATTTATTCGTTTATGTATTCGTTATGAATTCGTTTATTGGTTTGTTTTCGTTATTATTGATAAAAAAAGAAAATGAATAGTATCAATATAAAAAAATGTGATTCCGTAATTTCCCCCATAGCAGTTCGTTCAATCACAGTCACATAGTGCAGAAGGCGGTCATACGTTGTTACGTTGCATTGCGTTAATACTTGACCACGATAGAGAAATCGTTAATGACTTCTATAGACTATCTCCTAGTTAATGTTAATTTGCGTTCGATCATATGTACACCAGGTAGATTCTCAATATTATTACTTTTACTTGTACGTATATATATATATATATATACACATAGATGTTATTTATTGATTGTGGTAGTTATATTTGTAGTAAGAAAAATTATCAATGATCTCTTATGATCTCCTTAGATTAATCTCATGGATCTTATGATAATAATCACTTTCATATTATTAACCTCAATTTCTGTGGTAGATTTTTTTTTATCATTCGAGATTATATTATTGATTGGTTATTAATTTTACTTCGATTGAAAATAAATTTTAATCAGTGTAGATTTTATTTGTTTGATGAGGTCGATGATAATAAGAAAATTTACACTTAAAATTCATCGATTTTTGAATACTAATTTTTGTATAATTAAGTTTGATTTTATACATTTTTTTTTATCTTCAATATTATTACTGATCGATTATTAATTATTATTTTTATTGCTTTTTTTTATCAACATTTAATTATCATAAATGTTATCTGTTTGGTGACTAATTATGGGTGGTAAGAAAAATTTGTACATTGGACTCGTTGATTTTTACTAATAATAATAATTATTAGTTTCATATGATATTATTAGTCAGTATTCTTTAATAGATATTTTTTATATTAAAGATTATTAATGATCGTTTATTAATGTATTTTTCTTATACAAATTAAATTATTATAGATATTAATTTGTTTTGCGATTCGTTGTAATGGTAATAAAAATTATTGATCACATCTCTCGGAATTTTTTGTATAATAATTATGTTAATATTTAATGACACACATTTTATGTATGAATATCATTGCTATTAATCGATTATTAGTTGAATTGAAATAAATATAAATACATATACATATATGAAGTATGAATATAAATTTATATGACTGTGTGTTGAAATTCAGTTTTAAATGCGTTCAAAATAATGATCAATAATTAAATACCTCTTACAATAAAAAACAAAACATGTTAACAAATTTGTAGCAAGTTAGAAAAAAAGAAAAAAAAATTGTATAACCGCATTACGCTTGTATAATAATCGATAATATCACACTCGTTCTTTCATAGTTGCATGTTGGCAGATGTTAAAAGTAGTCGATTCTCGATAGTGATCTGCAAACGATCATTAAACAGATCTTGAAAGGTACACGTCATGGCAAAGATAAATCACGTTCTTTACTTTCTCGTGATGGTGGACACCGTTTCTGCGGTTTTAGCGTTCTTTCAAATGTTATTGCAAGCTTTTTAATTTCAATCTAATTGCACGTTTATGTTACACTTTTTATTGTCATAAATTATCACTCCACTAATATTCTTGTAATTTCTTATTTTTTTTTCCTTTTACAAATTTTTATAACAATTTTATTAAATTTAAATAATTTTTTAAATATATTTATTTTTATTACACGAATGTTAAATTATATTATTAACTTTTATTATTATTATAAGGAAACATGAACGTGATATTACATTAAAATATATTTAATGAAACATTAAATAGAATCGCACAATTTTATTTGTAAATATTTTATTATTTTATTGATTGTTGATTGATGATAATAAAAAAATAATTTGCAATCTTTTTTTACAACTTTTTTATATCAATCTTATCCACGATAATTATATTAATATTAAAACATAGATATAAAATTCACGACGCATTTTATTAGATCAAAAAATTAATATCCAACGATTATTAATTTAAATTAAAGGAAAGAAAAAATTCAAATTTATTTCTAAAAACAAATGTATCAACTTTTTTCCTTATAAATCGCTTATACGTCTTTTTATACACATACACATACACATAAAACATTATTACTCGTAGCAATCTGGAGAAATTCCATTAATAACGTAAATTTCCTACAGAGATTGACTTTTTTTTTTATATCTCGTAGAATAATAAAAAGGAAAAGGATCAAATCAATTAATCCATTCTGACTAGCATGATATCGTTTTTATATATTTGTTATTAAACACACATATACACACATATATATACACACATACCAATTCGTTACGAGAAACTACTTCCAACATATTATTACACTAATCAACGATAGACGTGAAAAATGTGAATACACGTGGTAGTATAAGAAACGGCAATGAACTTACGCTTTTTCCTTTCTACGTGTAGTAGTCGATCGTATTGCACTGTACCGTATCCGTACCGCACCGCACCGCACCGTGCCGCACCTTACTGGACTATACCCGCATCTTACATTGTACCACCAAGCCACTAGGGTCCTTAAGTACAGTCGCAATTATCCACGGCAGTTAATTACCGGTAATGTCACTATTAATTACAAAATTACGTCGTGCTTGCGCGAGCCTTTCTATATTACGAGAAAAGAAAAAAGAATTAAAAAAAAAAAGAAGAAAAAGAATGTGGGTACACTAGTGTATATATATATATGTGTATAATAATATCGTGTGTACTATATATAACTCTTTTTACGTTATGATAATGAAAGATTGAGAACCGATAAAGATAAGAACAAAAAATATAATAATAATAATAAAAATAATGAA